GGTGAAGACTAGACCTACAGGGACTAACAAGTGGCTAGTGGATGATTCCTCAAGTTCGGGGGGTTATGGGCAGCAGCGGAAGACTGATCTCGGGGGCGAATACTAGGCAGAGACTGATGCTAGTGTGTCAAAGCAGTGGACGGTCGACATGGAAGAGGTGTCGGGCGAGATGAAGCGCAGGAGGCTTTGGGAAGGACATTCAAAAGGAATAGCAACGAGTGAAGACATGTTGCTCGGTGGGCCAAAAAATGGGAAGGCGGCGGGTCAGATCTGCTAGACCCGCCGGTGTTTCACTTGGTGGTTCTGTTCAGAAGAATGGGTGCTGGTTTTTATGTTATTGTTTATTTTAGTTGTTATTTTCACAGTCAGACTTTTATGCTTTAGTTTTTTTATATTTATGTTGCTGTAAAACTCTTGCATTAGGTTTGGGGGACGAGAGATCTACGGTAATCGTCGTTGGCTTTAATTTGCCCAAGTTAGGTCTAGCGAGTTATATTGTTTTATCAAAGTTGATTAACTCAGAGTCTCAGTCAAGTGCGGATGATTACATGTGGCCCTTTTGTTATTTTTCACCCCGGCTGAATGCTTTTTCATCAATATAAGCACCCTTCGTTCAAAAAAAAACATTTCGACGTGTATAGTGTTGAGTAATGAATTGGAGTACTCAATAATGAAGGGGTTTTGCCATTTTTAATCCTCCGACTATCATGTCATTGACACTTTTAATACTCGACTTTTATTTTTTTCATTTTTAGTCCTCGACTATTGCGCTGGAGACACTTTTGGTACTCCTCTTCGAAAATTTCCATATTTAATCATTAAACTTTCATAAAAGTGACACTTTTGATCTTCAACTATTATACTTGTGACATTTTTAGTCCTCCACTTATTTTATAAAAATAATAATGGAAAGATTAAAAGTGTCAATTTGACAATATTCCAAATGAAGAAACACTGCAAAGAAGTTTTGAAGAACGTTTGAAAGGCTCTGAATGATTCCAAAGAAGAAGAGATCAAGCCACAAATTTTATTAAGAATAAACGAATAATCCCTTGTGATTTCATTCATTCTTGATAAAATAAATCCAAAATTTGAAGAACGTTCGAAGATTTGAAGAATAAAGTTTGAAAATTCGAAGATCTGAAGAACAAGGCTTTGGGCTTTGGAGTTTCGAAACTTTGAAAAACGAATATTTGAAGATTTGAAAATACTCCTATATATGAAGATTGAATCTAGATTCAATTGAATACCAAGTCATATATCACGGGAAACCCTATAACATAAGATCAAACTATAATACTCCCTCCGTCCCTAATAACTTTGTCAAGTTTGACTAGCACGTGGATTAATAAAGTAAAAACTGTGTGGTTGAGATTTGTGCAGAGGAGAGAGAATTAACTAGAACTACAATTTCTTTTCTTAAATGAGAAAGTTGTAAAGTTAATGAGACATTCAAAAAAGGAAAGTTGACAAAGTTATAAGGAACGAGGGAGTATGATTCTTGAAGATCAAGCTATCTACAAACTGGAGACCCTTTAAATTGAATTTTGCATTAAAAAGCATTCAAATATTCAAATAACCAAGCTTTGAAGGTATAGTGAACAAAGTTTTGAAGATCTAACAAACCAATATTCGAAGATACCCTTTAAATTGAATTTTGCATGAAAAAGCATTCAAAGATTCAAGAGATAATTCTCTAAATGGGAGTAAAACATGGCTAAAGTTCAAAAATAGGAGTCCTATATCTGTAGGATTGAATAGGAGTAAAAATATATGAGCTGGCCAAATTACCCTTAATGAAACCTACATATTTATTACGGATCAGAGTACATTATAAAATACGGAGTAGAATAATACGAAGTAAATAAAAGCATGTACAATAGACGGTTTTTTCCAGCCACAAATCTGACGCCACCACCACCCCTGAACTTGATGCCGCCGCCAGAAAGGATCGCCTCCAGCCTCTGTCGTCGCCGGACATCACCGCCTCCAATCTCCGCCGTCGCCGGACATCACCACCACCGGATCTCCGCCGCTGCCTCCGCCAATCATCTTCATTGCCTCCAGTCTCCGGCGTCACCATCTCAGTTGCCGCCAGTCATTGGCGCTCCGGTCACTCTTGCCTCTTCCAACTCTATCATCACCATCAGATCTGGAAGGTTTAAATTGCCATTTGATAACTTGAATGACATAATGATGGCATTCATATTAAAAGATAAGAAATTCATTGTCAGTTGGACATCTTAATGGCTTTATAAATATTGTATGGGCAAGTGTCAAATATTGCCATTATAAATAATGGAAAGTGTCAAATATTGCCATTATGTGCGAATAATAACATTTTTATATGAAAAATATGACATTTTATGCCAAGGAGTTAGTGTTGCAAAAAATGACACTATGTGCCAAAACAATACTTTTACATTGAAAAGATGCCATTTTTAGTATTGTTTTCACAAAGCAATAATATTTTTTTGCTTAAAAAAAGGAACAATATTTTTATCTTAATACAATAAAAATCACATTAGAATAGCAATTACTGCAATTTCTGATTCAATTCGGAAGACTGAAAAATTATAAAAATATTGTTTGAAAACCAATCTAAAAAATTATACTCCGTATTGTGTATTTTAAAATATAAATTAAATATCAAAACAACAAAAGCTTAACAAAATTGCAAGGAGAACAAAAAAAGCAATAAAAAAATCGGGAAAAACAAATCTAGAATGAAATAGATCTGGAAAGAAAGAAGAAATTAAAGCAAAAAAAATTGCCATCTGAAATCAAGCAGCGAAATTAACTTCACCCAACCTAAACCAAAAGGGTCATCCCCACCGCCGGGCAAATTAAAGAAAAGAGAAGGGGGGGAAGAATATGAAGAAGAAGAAGAAGAATGAAAAAAGAGGAGAAGAAGATAAAAACTTACCTACGTGATTGCCGCCGCTTGCCGGTGCCGGAATTGGGAAGAAATTCACCATTCAAGATTGTATAACCGGTGAAAATGGAGAAGTGGGGAAAAAAGCTAGATCTAAAAAGTAAAATTAAACTCAAGTAGATGGGGGAGGAGGGAGATGAATGAGAGAGAAGGGAGATGAATGAGAAAGAAGGGAGAGATGTGTTGCGTGAAAAGAGAAGACATGGGGTTACGGTTGTTGCCTGATCGAGAAAAGGAGATGGTTCTGACAAAAGAAAAAGTAAATTAATTACTACTCCGGATCCGTAATTTATAAAAAGGGTATAATTGACAAAATGAAACAGACAAGTCAACTAATAGCTCCAGTTTAGGGAATAAATCACAACCACTCCTATTTTAGAATTTTGTTAATGTTTTACTCCCATCTAGGACAATTACTTAAGATTCAAATAACCAAGCTTTGAAGGTATAGTGAATAAAGTTTTGAAGATCTAACAAACCAATATTCGAAGATGTCAAGAACAAAAACTTGAAGATCTAAAGAACATTCAGAATAATTGATTAATTAAAGATTTAATTTGAAGTTAAATTCTTTAATTATATTAATTTTAAATTATTAAAGTGAAAAATCAGAAAGTTTGTATTTACAAATTGCACTCAATATTTATTACGAGTATGTAATAAATAAATACTTAAATTTTGTTTTACAATACCACCAGTGGAGGAGCTGGGGAGGGGCATGAGGGGGCAAGCGCCCCCGCTTCGGGCAAAAAAAATTAGTACTACTACTTATAACATATTTAATGTGCCCCTTGTTTTTTTCAAAAATAAATACCAATTAAGGATAATTTAGATTAACTGTTAAAATAAAAGGCAAAGCCTTTCATGAAACATACGTGTCTTTAGGAGTACAAGTATTGGCTACAACATACCACATTCATTTGAATGAAAGTGTGGAGTTTTAGACCTTTAATGTCACACAGATTGACTTTTCGTGGTTATAGTGAGCAAGAAAGTATTTAGTTTGACAAATATGTTGTCACATTTCTTGCAACAAAAGATCAAAAGATTATGTTGGATTCCCTCCTTAGTGGAGAAATTCATTAAAGTTTTAGAATTCTCAGAGATGTCCAAGATTCTCTATATGTGTGTAAAGAAGTACTGAATGTTCTAGAATAATAATGCGGAGTTTTATAGAGAAGTGTGAAACTCACTAAAATCGTGTGGAAGTGTGTGAAAGCCTCTAGAGCATTTTAAAGAATTGTTGTGTTTTCTAAATCGTTCTAGAAGATTAGAAAAACTTGTGGATACTTTTTGGAATAATCTAGATGTGTAGTAGTGTATGAAAAAAATCTAAAGGAACTTTGATGAGATTAGTATAGAGAAGCTCATTGTTTCTTTGTTAACCTTGAAGAGAGTTCTTGAGTGAGTGAAAGTGAGAGTCTTCTTGAGAAGGAGAAGGAGAACCTTCTTGTGAGAAAAGAAGGCTCAAAGATATCGTTGAATGAAGTACAGTGAACGAGTGAGGTAGAGTGAAATAGTCTCAGATACAAAGAGTGAGTGAGAATAATACAATGTGATATTGTCAGATTGAGTCTTTGTATTATCAATGTATCAACATATAAGTGGGGGTCACGCTTTTCCAACATGATGTTATTATACAACATTTTGAACAAGTTAAAACTCTTATGAATGATCTTTCCAGATTATAGATATGAGTCAAGTAGTATGTAATGAGCTAATTTGTGCTAATGTATCACGTTTTTATTGTTTTCATTATATTTTGAGACAATACATAATATTCATACCATTTAGTACGCCCCGTCACTGAATAACACTACAAGACAATTACAATACTAAAGTACTACTCCTAGGCTTTGGCACGAGTTTTAAGAGGAAATTAGTAGGGATAGTGTAAAAGGTGTAATGAGTAGTGAGTAAATGAAAAAGTAGGAAAGAGAAAGGGGTAATGGTAATAAAAGTTGGGGTATAAAAGTATATTTAGAGTAAAAACTTTCCTTAAATGGAAAGGAGGACAAATAAAGAAAACGTCCCAAAAAGGAAAAAAGGACTAATAAAAAAGATCGGAGGAAGTAGTAATACATTGCTTAACTCAAAGCCAAAAGAAATACAGAGAGTATAAGATTTATCAATTAATTTGGACGGAGTCGGTACAGCTTTTTCAGCCCTTTGATTTACAAAAATAATCCTTTCGTTTCCTTCACAATGGACTTCATAATGATTAATATAGAAATGTTTCCGTATCAGTGTTTATTTTCAACTGAATTTCGGCACATTATGATCCTGATAAAGTGTGTATAAAATCTACTCCTCAGGTGATTGGTGAAAACCAAATCCAGTACAAAGATATACGGGCGGAGTTCAAGCCACTATAGAATCCTTTTTATCCATTCATATTCAGACCCGATTACAAAACCCGAAAACATATACCAGTGACCCATCATTTCTGGTGCACCATCATAACGCTGAAGTCCTCGAAACACACGAACCCGTCCCGGTTCTTATCAACTCCTGCTATCATGCGCCGGCAGTCCTCTAACGTGCACCGCGCGTCGCCGATGGTTCTGAACACGCTAAACAGCTCCTCCGCCGTAATCCTCCCGTCGTGATCCGTGTCAAAGAAATCGAAGGCGTCCCGCAGCTCAGAGTCGCACGACGGCGGCGCGAAGGCGGAGCTGAGCGCGCAGAAATCCTCGAGGCTGATGCATCCATCGCCGTCCCGGTCGACATCACTCAGCATCATCCTCAGCTCCTCCTCGCCGATCGGCTCGGCACCAACGCGGCTCAAAAGAGCGCCCAGCTCCTCCATCCTGATCTTCCCGTCCTCGTCGCTGTCGATCAGCTTGAACGCCTGCACGAGCTCGGCGTACACCCCGGCGGAAATGTCAGACCACTCCTCAGTGGAGATCTCATTGGTGACCGCGGGCAGGACGCTGGTGGGCGTGGACAGCCCGCCGGTGGACTTCCTGTACCCGGATTGAGAGTCGGAATCGGAAGAGGGGGAGGACGGGCCATCAGATCTGGATTTGGAGCGAGGTTTCAGGGATTTAAAGAGCTTGCCTGGATTGGGGATGCTTCCGAGGAGCTTCATGGGGGAATGTGGGGCAGAGCTAAAGGAAGGAAAGGAGAAGGAGAGGAACACAAAGGTAGTTGCGGAGAAAGAGCGATGATGAAGGGAGGTTTAAATGGGAGAGAAGAGAAGGGAGGCATAGTGAGTTTCCAGGAAACTTCGTAGGGAGTAGAGAGAGATACAGGTAGGAAGATGATTTGAGGCGGTATATATACACGAATACTACTCCGTATATAGTAGCACTGTATGTATATACGGACAACTGCCAATTATGCGGCCCATAATTAATTCATGTTTTACTCTAATCTCTCATTTCTGACATTGTAATGACTAGACCTCTTCCCATAATTAATTCATGTTTTTTATTTTACTTAACGTCCGATCATGGAGCTTAAAATTGTACCATCCGATATTGTCTTTGAAAAATTGCTCAAAGCACGAGCCCGTTTCATAATAATAGAATCGGGTAATTGTGTTTGTTGAAATTTATGAAGGTTTGGTTAACATGGCTGTATTAACTAATTTTTGATGATTTATGAAAAAATTATATTTTAAAATATATTTTGTTAATAAATTAAATAAAAAATTATATAAAAAATAGCTAAATGATCATCTATAGTAAGTTCAGACAATACAACGACAAAAGTAACTTCTATTTTATTGTTTTTTCTTATTATTACACAATTCAGCGTACGAAATTAAAAGTTATGTGTATGGTTAATAAGTTGGCTAATAGTGGAGAGCAGACTCACCAAACGGGCTCTAAGACTAAAATATACCCTATAGTTTTCTTCTAAAAATAGGATCATATGTTTGGTTTTTCATAAATAGGACTAATCATTCCATTTCTAGTCCTAATTTATTTAGTTCACTATAAAATAAAGACAAAATTACATGAAGAATAGCTAAAATGATTCTTTACAATAACTTCGATCAATCAAGACAAATTGTTTCGTACTCCCTCAGTCTCAATATGTAATACGTAGTACGGAGTATATGTTTTCTATTCACTTGGTCAACACAAATCACTTTTAATCTCTTACTTTATATATCAAATTTGAAAAATATTTTTAAAATATATTTTATTAATAAAATAAAGAAAAATTATATGTAAAAATAGCTAAAATGGTCATCTACAGACTACAGTAATTTCAGTCAATACAGCCAGAAAAGTAACTTCAATCTTACTTTTTCTGTTTATTACACAATTTAGCGCGCGAAAGCCAAACCTACGTATTTGATGAAAAAATTAGCTGATGAGCCTGATAAGCCGAAAAACAATATCACCAAATCGCCTCATAATTAGTTAATCAGTGATTACTAAACACGCTCTTAAATCTTAACAAATGATGAGAAAGAACACTACAAAACTGTTCTATCTTCCTACATGGCCTTTTATGTTTATTTTTTTTGTTTTCAATTTTTATTTGAATCTTTGCATTTTACTACAAGAATTTATTTGATTTCAGAACTGTGTAAGCTTGACAGCTAGTTAGGGGAGGAGATAGAAAAAAATACTATCATCCGTCTCTTTTTAATCGCAACATGTTGACTTTTTGTCTATATTTTACACTGTTCATATGGTCTACTCTGACTACATTTTACACTATTATTTTATGAAAATTATTTTTAGAAAAATATTTTTTTTCAATTCATCTCATTACAAATTTTTTCAAAATATGATTTTTAATATTTTTTATTAATAGAGATTAAAATATACTTACAGTCAAATGTGTGCGTCAGATTGTAGAATCTTTTACGAAATGTGCAATTTAAACTCCGGACTCCGGAGAATCTGCGTGTTGAGAAAATATGGAGTACTTTAACGTCAGATTGTAGGATCTTTTACGAAACCGTCTAAAACCTATCTACAACGGCACTACGCCCCTATACGTATCTCTCTCTAGAAAAAAAAAAACGAAATCCTTTCCTAGTACTCTCCAACGTTACATGTTCTGTTTCGAGTTGTAATCAACCATAGAATCCACCGAATTGAAAATCTCTTCCTTAGTATCTAAAATCTAGGATACAAAAAAAAAAAAAAAAAGATGACACCCCATCCCTGAGGGCCCCCCAACACCGACCGGACGGCACGATGGGAGGATGTAAATTGGACTATAATCACAATCTGACAGATAGAGAGTGAGGCTCTGTCCCCGGTACTTGCAGAAACCCTATGCATTTTTCAGCATAGTAACTTCTCCTAGATTTTTTTTTTTTAAATCTAGGATACTCAAATCTCTTTTTGCCAACCTTCGAATTAATGGTACTTGTATTAAAAAAAATTAAAAGTGGCCCTCATCATCAATATTAACATGGAGAATAAGTTGCGGCATACTTTTTGGGAGAGTTTTTGCCACTTTTGATCATTAGATTATTCTGTTATCGACATTTAATTTTTGGTACTCGACTTTAATTTTTTCCATTTCTAGTCTTCGATTATTGCGCTATAGACACTTTTAGTATTCGTGCTTGCAAATTATTCACATTTAGTCCTTCAACTTTCATAAAAGTGACACTTTTGATCCTTCAACTATTATTGTAGTGACATTTTTAGTCCCCGCTGATTATGTCAAAATCATAATGAAAGGACTAAAAATGCCAATGTGATAATACTCAAGGGACTAAATGTGGAAAACCTTGAAGTCGGGGACGAAATTGTCTTAGGCACAATAGTCGAGGACTAGAAATAGAAAAATTAGAAGTTGAATACCAAAAGTGTCACTGACATAATAGTTAAAGGATCAAATAAAAGTGGCAAAAACCCCTTTTTGGGACAATTCAATCATTTTTTTCTCCAAAGGGGTTGAGGGTTACTGTTAGGCCTAAGGGTGGAATGGTATATAAAAAGGGAAGAAGGGATGTAAATTGTATGATTGTGACACGGGTGACATTTTTGTATCTCGAGATGTGAAGTTTTATGAGGACGAATTTCCGTTTTTGGTGTCCTCTAACTCTTCACAGTCACGCAATGAAGAGGGTGAAATGCTCTCGCAGGCTACACAACCCATCATGTTTGATGCTCATCCATTGGACAAAACTCATATGTCCGCAGACACATCCACAGGTGAGGCCGAGACTGCCATGCAGGATCATGCAAACGATACTACAGTAGACACTAATTCGGCCGAACTACCAGTACTGGGCCGTGGCATGCGTCCAAAACGGTCTTCAGTTCTTCTTCGGGACTTTGTCACAAATCACGTGCGAGAGTTAAGCCCATCCTCGTTGTCACCTGGTTTGCATGGTTCCTCAGGTACGCAATATCCTCTCACGCACTATATAAATTGTGATAAATTTTCTGCACGATACCGTGCATTTCTTGGGGCTGTTCTTGCAGGGAAAGAACCAAGCTCATTCCGAGAGGCTATGGAGGATGAAAAATGGCGTGAGGCCATGCAGAAAGAGATAACGGCTCTTGAAAATAATGATACGTGGGAAATGGCGTGCTTACCTGTTGGCAAGAAGGCTCTCGGTTCTAAATGGGTTTATAAGATAAAATATAACTCAGATGGCACCATCGAGAGATACAAGGCCCGACTTGTGGTGTTCGGCAATCATCAGAAGGAAGGTATTGATTATACTGAGACTTTTACACCCGTGGCAAAAATGGTTACTGTACGTATTTTCTTAGCAGTTGCTGCAGCCCGTAATTGGGAATTACATCAGATGGATGTACATAATGCCTTTTTACACGGAGATCTTGACGAAGAAGTTTATATGAAACTTCCACCAGGTTTTTCATCCTCTCGACCTGGATTGGTGTGCCGACTACGGAAATCTTTATATGGCTTACGCCAAACACCGAAGTGCTGGTTTGCCAAGTTGGCAGGTTCCTTGAAAAATTATGGTTTTCGACAATCTTATTCTGATTACTCACTCTTTATCTACCACAAAGGGGAGATTCAATTAAATGTTCTTATTTATGTGGATGATTTAATTATTTCGGGCAATGACACGCAAGCCTTGCGTGAATTTAAACTCTATCTAAGCTCATGTTTTCACATGAAGGATCTTGGCCTTCTTAAATATTTTCTTGGGATTGAAGTGGCGTGTAGTGCGGATGGCATTTTTCTGTGTCAACGCAAATACACGCTGGATATCATTGATGAATCAGGACTTCTTGGGTCCAAACCTGCAGCGTAAACCTGCAGCGTTTCCCATGGAACCGAATCATAATTTGGCTTCGTCAACGAGTGATTTATTGTCATGCCCGGAATCTTATCGGCGTCTTGTGGGCCGGCTTATATACCTCTCTTTCACTCGACCTGACTTAGCATATTCCGTTTACGTGCTGTCTCAATTTATGCAGAACCCGCGAATGGAGCATTGGCACACGGCTCTTAGGGTGGCCAGATATCTCAAGGGCTGCCCAGGACAAGGAATTCTTTTAAGCTCCAAAAGTGATTTGTCTCTCACTGGATGGTGTGACTCCGATTGGGCCAGTTGCCCCCTTACTCGTCGTTCTTTGACAAGGTGGTTGGTCTTCTTTGGTGGTTCGCCAGTCTCATGGAAGACTAAGAAACAACATACTGTTTCTCACTCATCTGCTGAAGCCGAAGATCGCTCCATGACAGCGATTACTGCGGAGTTGAAATGGCTCAAGGGCCTACTTCACACTCTCGGTATATCTCATGATCGTCCTATATCCTTATTTTGTGATAGTCGTTCAGCGCTTCATATTGCTCAAAACCCAGTCTTTCATGAACGTACAAAGCATATTGAGGTTGATTGCCATTATGTTCGTGATGCTATTCAGGAAGGACTCATCTCTACGCACCACGTTCCTACCAATGATCAACTCGCTAATATTTTCACTAAGGCTCTTGGCAAACAACAATTTTACTATCTTCTTGGCAAGTTGGGCATTTTGGATCCGCATGCTCCAACTTGAGGGGGGTGTTGACGCACGTATATATGTATATAGGCCGAGTTGTATTTTATTTGGGCCAAATGTATTCTTTCAGCCTTGTTTAAATAGGGTAGCATTCATACTTGTATAAATACGGACGTATTGACTCGTTTGAGGGTCAAGATTAATGAGTATCATTATTTTCACTACAAGAAAAAGGGCTTTTAACGACCACCATATAACGATGACTCTACAAAATCGTCGTTAAAAGTTGTTTTTAACATCGACAAATAAGTTCGTGGTTAT